TTTTTTTTTTTATCCTTAGTAATAATTGTTTTTGAAAATGGAGATAACACATAAATAAAATAAATATTCAATGAAAAGAGATTTTATCTTAAGACATAAATAAGGATAAAATAGTCTAATCTTTTTCCTAATTAATATTTCTTAAGGGGGCGTGTAAAAGAGAAACATTACAAATAATTTGAGACAAATGGAGTAATTCCTTCAACTCTAGATCATGGGTTCAAACAGTGCAAAAAATAATTAATACTTATATTATGATATGTTGTCTATATTATACCTTTTAGGTGCGGCTTTTTCTCGTACTATACTTGAACACGAAATAGTTTATAGACCAGGGTAACCTTTACTGTAATTCCTTCAACAACCTTTTGAAAATAAAAAGTCAAAAATTTTCTTGAGAAATTATTGAAGAAGTTTTCTTATAAAAAAAAAAGTGTTTGATTGCCCTGTGAGCTTTAGTGGGCGTTTGGACATAAGAATTGTAAAATTCCCAAAAAAAAAATGTGAAAAAAAATTAAGTTAAATTTAAAAATTAGAGTTGTATTTGGACATAAATATAATTTTGGGTTGTTTTTGAAATTTTGTGAGTCATCTGAATGAAATTTTTTGAAAAATAACTTTTTGGAGTTTTTTAAAATTTTAAAAAATTTCAAAATATATCTTTAAGTGAAAATTAAAAATTTTATGAACAAAATTTCGTAAAAATGTAAAAACTTTTAGAAAAAAAAAAAGAAAAAATTTCTTATGTCCAAACCGGCTCTTAGTATAGTTGGTAGGTGTTGTACATAATGTGTGAGCTAGACATATATTATATTTCAAACTTTGGATACGTATTTATTACCTTAACAACCTATAAAATGGGGGCAATAATCCACGTGGCAGCATATCCAAGATTGTCAAGAGCTAACCTTTCTCACCACCAATTGATTTTCGATGCGGAATAAAAATATATTTATAAAAATATATTAAAATTAAATTTATAAAATTTAAATTCTAGTTCCATCTATGTCATGTCCGTACTATCAAGTCTATCACAGACCACGTGCCAAAATCTTATCACAGAAAGTTCTCTTTCCCGTTTCCAGAGGAATTTAGGTTCTATGGCATAAAGGAAATTTACATAACTAATCTAAGTAGAGATTTATTAATAGTGTAAAATAAATTTTCACTATCAATCAATGATGTAACTTAAATTCAATAAGGGAATAAGTATGCAAATAGCTGAAATAACAAAAAGAAAACTTCTTTCTGAAAGATCAGATCTTTGATATTCACATAAACACGGTGATAATTCATACGCATAATACAACATCGCCGGCTACTCTCACCGTTAATTCCCCATAATATTAGTCTACATTTCTATATTAATTTTGTTTTCTTTCCTAAAATTTCTGAAAATTAAAAGGGAGATTACAAATTAAATAAGATTACAACTAATTAAGCAAAAGTTAAAAATCATGTAAAACAGAGAGTTTTACATGTTCTCTGGCGGAGGAAGGTTTAGGTCGAGGTTAATGGGCCTGGTGATGGGCTTTAGATCGTGGCCCATAAAATCAATCACCGACGAAGAATCGGACTCGCCGGAGGCGCCTCCACCACAACCAGCGATAAACTCCGCCGTTTTCCGGCAACTTTTTTTATATGAAGAAATCACTCGCTCTCGTTGAAGAGCTTCCAAATAGTACATATGATTCACCGGCGTAATACATCCAGCGATTCCTCCGGCGACTGGAGAACCGTGAAACTGATGGTTCTGGAACAAAACCCTACCCACACCGTTGCTAAATAAACTACGGGATCCACCGAGGCTGAGATCCAATGGTGAAGTGTCCAGCATCACTGCCGGCGGCGAGTTCTCCGGCATAACCGGTGGCGAGTTCTCAACGGTACTGCTTTGGCTCGGACTACAATTTCTATTAGCCAATTTCACATTCTCCGGCTCTATAATCGGAAAATTCGTCTTTGCTTTAGCTCCGCGGAATTCCCTCGCCGCCGTATCGTAAGCTCTGGCGGCATCCTCCGCCGTATCAAAAGTGCCAAGCCAAACACGGCTCTTTTTCCCTGGATCTCTAATTTCCGCCGCATATCTCCCCCACGGCCTTTTCCGTACACCTCTGTAATGCATCTCCTTTGAAACTCCGTTCACTTTCCCCGCCGCCGTCACCGTCGCCATCGCCGCCGTACCTTTTTCTTTCGGCGACATTTACGTACACTCCACTACTTTCTGTACGTGTTATGTCTATATATATTAGGAGTACTTCTAATTTGTACGTAAGAAAATGTACATGAAATTTGAATGAGTCATGTGTAGAGAATTAGGGCACGGCTGAGAGAAAATGTAGGGGGAAATGGGCTACTTAAATAGGAAACTGGTTAAGGGGAGCGCAGTCAACGGAGTCTTTGACTGATGAAATGTGGGGATTAGGGTTGTACAAATCGAATCCTAAAATCGCATCAAATCAAAAAGTCTAGTCAAATTGATTAAAAAATTTAATTAGGTTTAGTTTGATTTTGATTTAGTATTGAGTTAAAAAATCGAACCAAACCGATATATAAATATATAATTTTTTATATATAATTTTAAAATTTTATATAGCATTTTATTTAAAGGATGTCTAAAAATATTGGAGATCTTCTCATGGGATATAATATTTAATAAAATTATAAAGTGCATTTTTTTTATTTATTTTAAATAATATATTGTATCACTTTCTTAATGTGTTATTGAAATGCATCAATCATCTCTTTGTTCTTTCATATTCATATGTCAAAATTTATTATATATTTTTTGAATTTGAAGTGGTATTTCGATAATCTAAAATTAAACATATCATTATTTATATATCATATTGATTTTTATGTTTAATTATTAAATTTGGTTAACCCTGAAAGCGTACATCAACTAAAAATTATTGGTAGACGACTAAAAAAATAAACTATTATGTGTTACTGAAAAAATTCTCCCATAAGATCACTCCAATAGATCATATGTTTGTTATTTATTTTTTAATTTTTAGTAAACATATATTTACTTATCAAAATTTTATCTATAACTTTAATAATGCAAGATTGAAATAATATTCATGAAACAAAAAAACTCGAAAAACCCGAAAAATCCGACAAAACCGAACCAATCCAAACCGATATAATTGGTTTGATTTTGTTTTGATAAAATCCGAACCAACCCGGTCCATGTACACCCCTAGTGGAGACCACTAATATTCAAGGGCGGATACAGATTTGACCGAACTCAGTAACTTCTGGTAAATAACGTATCTGTTTAAACATCTTCATTAAATATGAAGAAATATTTAATTCAAAATCTAGTTATTAGTACTTGAAATTGTCGTTATAAAATTTAGAACTCAAAAAGGTTGAAATCATGATTTTATTTCTATTAATATTACGTAGCATTTTTAATGGTTAATTGGGATACGTGGGGTGTACTTATACAATTTTGTATCTATACATTATCTGACTGCTTTTAATGTAATTGAGAGGTGCATGGGCTATTTGTATGTATTTTATTTGAAGATAACACGTTTTGGAATAGGAACAAGAAATAGAATAAAAGAAAGAAACCATTTTTAGATATGGGCATTCTTATTAAACAAGAAAAGAAAAGGGGCATTCTTTTTCAGCTCAAGAAATGTGGAGGAGAAACTATATTCTTTTGGATTTTGAGGGAAAATTCCAATCATGTTACAGACCAAATTCTTTTTCTTTTGTGGAATTTAAGAGTTGAAAGAATTAATTTTGTCGAAACGAAATAAATAGTTTTGTCCTTTACACGATAGAAGATCATGTATTATGTGTATATCATTATATTGAATTAATTTGACTAATCACTTTTATAAAAGGTTATGTTCTAACGTTTTTGACGTTTTTGATTCTGTAATAAATAAAAAATAACTTGGAGGATATTAACTTTTTTAGAAATAATAATTGAGCAAACCACAAATCTTCAATTATGGTAACTAAAAATGCCATATATATCACTTAGTTCAATGTAATTCAAATTATGATTAAAGAAATTTTGATGACATAATTAGAGTTGCTTAGTGAAATGCAATATAATTACTTCAAAGTTTACGAAAAAATATTAAAATATAACCAAGGTACAATTGAAAAAAAGCTTGCTATTATTTAGATATATTTATGAGAACAAAACTTTAATTTTGTAAATTCATTATTTCCAAAAACAATTTACAAAACAATGAACAGTTACTATTAAAAAATATTAAATATACACGTGGAAGATAGGGAACTAAATGGAACCGGAGATAATTGGTAAAGGAAAGTTGTCGGCGGTGGTCCGATAAACCGTCGCCGAATGAAATCGATCCGTTACTGACGTTGGTGGCGGGTCACTTTTATTTCCTCAGATAATGCATTTGTGGTGGGGCCCAACTTGTTCGGCTCGCCGCCCCATTCGGCGGGCCAATTAAAGACAAGACACGTCTATGTACGCGTGTTTGCATATAACTTTTGGATATAACTAACCTAAAAGCCGGCATGTCCGCCCAAGGTTCTGTCCAAAACCAGCAGGATTTTTTATTTACATTACAACAGCAATTTATTCCTTCTCATGGGTCCATTCCCTCACGCTTCATAGTCGCGCGTGTGAGTCACGTGAAATTTTCCCTATGGTTATTATTGGTAGCTCAGCTCTATTTAAGAGCGATTTCCTGTTTGGTTGATTTACATTTTTCATTTAATAAGTTTGACTGGAGGTTTTACTGCATTTATTTTCAGATTTTAGGAAATCCCATAATTTTTGTGTCTATGTTAGGTGGGGGAAGGTTTACGTAAACTTTTAAGGCGTCGTTCGGTCGGGAAACAATCGGGATTGTTATTTCATTCTCTTATAGGGATATAAATAATTATTATCTCGGGACAATTAATTTTGGAATTAATTATACCATAATTTTATCTCAACCAAACATGTGACGAATCCATCTCAAATTTAATCCCGAAATTACTTATCCCATATCCCTCGTACCAAACGAGCCCTAAGGGGACGTTTGGTAGGGGAACAAGTTATTTCAGGATTATAATGATGGGATTACGGGAATTAAATACTACATCCATTCCAGTTTATGTGAATCTATTTCCTTTTTGGTCCGTTCAAAAAAGAATGACCCATTTCTAAATTTGGAAATAATTTTGC